CAGTACAAATAGCACTGGAGATCCGTAGGGGGAAGTACTCGGCCGGATCCATCCCTTCTCTGTCAACTCTTTCAGTTGTCGCCGAAGTTCATCCAACTCGGTCGGAGCCATCCTATAGATCCTTCCCTTTGGGGTTTTACTCCCTGGAATGATTTTTATGGCATGGACAATCTCCCTTTCTACGACTCCTGTAGGCTCCGTGAACAAATCAGGGAACTTAGCAACGACGTGTTCCATCTCTGGGGTGTTTTAACAGCCGCCCCTTTCTTAGAGACATACACTAGGTACATACCCTCCTCTTGGTTCTGTTTATAATAGTTATAGAATGTTGATGCACACAAGCAGCCATAGGTATCGATTATACTACTGGCTTTGAACTTAGTCAGTCTAACTGTTCTTCCATTAGGCAACTTATGCTTCAACACTTTCTTGTCCCAGTCAAACTGGGGCTTGGCAACCTCAAGGTAGTACATTCCCAACAGCATATCAAACGGTAAGTCGTCGCTAACTAGGAACGAAATCTTGTGATTAAGTTCCCCTCCTCCATAGGAGAAGGTGCAAACTACATCCTTGATATAGTCTGTGACAATCATGCGCTCCTTATTGGCCAAAGTAGATGCTACGGGTCTACTAAGGTGCTGAACCCGGTCCTTTAGGTGCAGCCTTTCCAAATAGTCGCGACTTATGTAGTTTCGTGTGGAGCCGATGTCTATGAAGGCACCACATTTGCGGCCTCCTACATCAACTTCCACAACGAAGTGTTCCCCTCTAGGACCTTTCCTTAGTGCCACCCAAGATTCACGAGGGTCCTTACTTGACCACTCACTTTCCAAATCTTCTAAGGCTTCAAACACATCCAACGTACAGAGCATGGCTTGGTCTGGATGAGTCTGCAGGGTGACTAAAGAATCATTAGATATGGCCATCTCATAAAGTGGGGAGGGTATCTGGTCCACTTCACCATGAGTAGAAGCAGCTAAAACTTCCACCGGCCTCACGTGTTTCCCGAGCTAGAAGCCTGGGAAGAAGGTGCCCCCATCTTGGGAGGTATCCTCTGCGTGACCTTTGCGTTCTTGAACTTATACTGGGTGTGTCCGTATTCACCACAGTTGATGCAAGCACCACGCACTCTACGGTCCCGCCACACTTCCTGATCAAGACCTGCCTTGACCCAATCAACAACTTTGGTCTGATTGGAAGCGGCCTGCCCTTGATTCTTTTGATGGCCCTTTCCTCGGCCACCTGCCTTAGTCTTTACTACTGCGGCGAGGGTGCTACCCTCAGTGATCTCCTCGTCGTCGTACTCTGAATAGTCCAACAGGTATGTGAGCTCATCGGTCTCCGTTTGAGTCCCATCGGACTCAACCATCATCAATTTGCTCCCCTTGTTCTTCCATTCCTGTGGACTCTTCTTCTTCCTCGCGTCTACTGAGGTAGGTTGAGCACTTCCTAGGGTGGCCTCTTAGTCCAAGGCTTTCCTAGATAAAGTCTCAAATGAGTGATACTCAAGGCGAGCCTCGCTGGCCAGCAAATTCCTGAGATTCTCTGGGAGACATCTCACAAATGTGGTCAACAAGAACGGGTCATCGTAGTTTATGCTGGGAACGTCTATGAGGCTCTCTACGGTAGTCGTAAGCTCTCTGACTGACTTGAACTTTCTTTGATCTAGTCTATGCATCGCATCAGTGGCAATTTGTGCCTGCTGTGGATTGTGCCAACGAGCTTCTACCATTTCTAAGAATTGGTCTAACGTAATCGTCTTAGCCCAGTCCTCCATGAGTCGTCCGTCCCCGACCTTTGCAACTAAACCATCCAGCCATTTGGCTGCCTTACCCTCAAGGTAAGATGCAGCAGTAATCACCTCCTCCCGCGAAGTCCTTTTCGCCTTTACCCATACTGGAACCGTTCTCAACCATGTGTTGAGTTCCTCGTCCTTCTTCTCTTCGGAGAAGGCAAGGGGCAGTTTCATAGGGGTCTTCGGGTACCATTGACCTTGCTGCTGTCCCCGTTGAGGAACAGGTTGTTGCGGTGATGGTGTAACAACCCCCGCTGACCCAGAAGAAGAAGAAGCAACAATTTGTGCGACTTCTGCGGACGTACCACTTGGCTGCGTGCCAGCTTGTACCGGAAAGGGGCCTGACATTGCCCTTAACGGCAACGACGACTGTGCTGCTGGCCTAAATCCGGGCCTTTGCAAAAGGTCCAAGATTTGGTTCAGAGAGTTCTGCATGAAGTCCAGCCTGCTGTCCACATGCGCATGCAGCGACAACATGCTGTTCTTCAACACTTTCAATTGGCCAGACATTACTGACTCATCCAAACCCTCCAATGCAGCCTTGTCTGCCTCTAATGTATCAAGCCTGGCTGCTCTTCTTTTGATCTCATTTTGTCTATCGGTTGCTTGGTTCAGTTCCCTCTCTAACCGTTCACGAATCCTTTCGACCTGTTGAAGCTCTAGGAGCTCCCTGCCGCGTGGGGTCAACGGGCTTAACTGCGAGCCCGCCATTTGACTTGTGGACTGACTAGAACTTACTGCCCCGGAAGTGCCCG